TTTCAGGAAGAATTGTTAAATCTATCTCCCCAGATTCCTACTCAGGGGAGGATGTGGAAGATGTCTGGGTTAGTCTGGTCTGGATCAAATTTTTTGCCTTTTCATGTTGATAGATGTAGTGGTATGCTATTGACTCATCTGTCGGCTGGGAGAGCCAAGACCCTTTCCACTTGCTCCTGGCCTTTCTTTACTGGGACAACAGCCACCCCTAGCGGCTTGTGTTGGGCAGTTGCACATAGACTGGGTCTCTGTTTCTTGCCCGGCCACTATGGAGGCAGCTCCCTTGCTGTTGGCGTGGCCAGCCTCAGGCTGCTGCTCTGCTATAGCGGGACTGGAGTGGGAACAGATGGGGGGGCTGTTTATTGCCGTGAGGGGTCTCAGAGCTGCTGTCCAGGGGGTTAGGGTGCCCAGAGTTCACCGGGATTCCCAGCTGCTGAGGTAAGTGTCCCGTGATGCTTCCATCCAGCTGTGGGGTCCCTGTCCCTGTAAGACTTTCAAAAAGCACTTGCTTTTCTTTGTCCCGGGGGTGCCGGCTGCAGGAACCCGTTCACAGTTCTTACTGTCCAGTTTCCCTAGTTTCTAGCACCCCACACACTGTGTGTCTGCAGTCTGGGTGCAGATGGCTAGGACTGGCTATTTAGCAGTCCTGGGCTCCCTCTCCCTCCCTGCTCTGACTCCTCTCCTCCCACTGGGAGCTGGGGTGAGGGGCACTCGGGTCCCGCTGGGCCGGGGCTTATATCTTACCCCCTTTGCCAGGCACTGGGTTCTTGCGGGTGTGGATGTAGTCTGGCTGTTGTCCTGTGACTTCTGGTCTCTCTTTTAGGGATAGTTGTATTTGTTGTATTTTCAAAAATTTATATGTTTTTGGGAGGAGATTCCCACTGTCCTACTCACACTGCCATCTTAGCTCCGCCCTCTGGGGGGCTGTGTTCTTGAGGAGTGGTTCTCTTTTCCTGTAATGTCTTTATCTGGTTTTGGTGTCAAGGTGATGCTGACCTTATTGAATGAGTCGGGAATTGTTCCCTCTTCCTCACTTTTCTGGGTGATTTTGTATGGAATTGGTATTATTTCAACCTTAATTATTTGGTAGCATTAACCAATGAAAGCATCTTTGTGGTAAAGTTTTTAATTACAAAGTCTATTTTTGTAATAGTACACCTATTGTGTCTTTCAAGGTATTTACCCATTCCATCTAAGTTGTTGAATTTATTGGCATACTACATTTCTGATATTCTCTTACTATCCTTGTATTGTCTGTGGGTTCTGTAGTGACATCACTTCTCTCATTCCTAATATTTTAAATTTATGTTTTCTCTTTGTTTCATGATCAGTATGGTTACAGGTTTATTTGTTTTATTGTTCTTTTCAAGAACAAGCTCTTGGCTTCATTGATTTTTCCCTAGTTCATTGGTTTTGCTCTTATCTTTATTATTTGTTTAGTTTACTTTTGGTTTACTTTTTCTTTTTTTTTCTCCTTTGTTAAGGTAGAAGCTTTGGTTATTGATTTGAGACTTTATTCTTTTCTAATACAGGCATTTGATGCTATAAAATCCCCTCTAATCACTGTTTTAGTTCTGTATCTGTATGTTGTGCTTTCAGCTTCATTTAGTGAATCTTTTTATTTCCTACTAGGAAGCCTTAGACCTGAGTTAGCAATTCGGCAGGACTTCACCTTTCATGATCTTAATGCCCTGCTTCTTTTTTCTATTCTACATACATTTTTCCATATAATAATCTGGATGCATTTCTAAAATCACCTCAGCTATTTTTAGAATGAGAAGCAGAAACTAATTAGGTAAAATGACCTTTTGGGGGGAGAGATTTAGCTTCATAAAGAAAACGCTTCTTTCAGGGAAAATGCCATGAGTTGCTGGAACCCATGAAATATGAATTTAATTAGATTTATTTTTGGAATAGTTAACATGGTCAGAATTCAATTAGGAATTGCAGTTGGAGTCAAGTACTAATAACTTGCATTTGTTTATTGATTTGTATTTTATCAGTTTACCCCATTTTTTTCTCTGTCCCTGGCAAGTACATAGGATAGCCTTTATTACTGGCTATCCGTTATTTTAATGATGAGGGGAATGGGGCTAATAGATGTTAAGTGATTTGCTCAAGTTCACGTAACTTCTAAATGACAGAGATAGAATTCCTACACAATTTCCGTTTGAATCCAAGCCTTATGTGTTTTGTTCTTTATAACCTTATGTGGTTCTAAAATTGTGGTCTCTTATTGTCAGCATTAACATTACCTGGGAATTTATTAGAGATTCAGATTTTCCCTCTCCCCAGACCTGCTGCATCACAGATCCTGGGGGTGGAACCTGGAGATCTGTGGTTTGGCATAGGCCTGGGTGGTTCTGACGCGTACTTAGGTTTGAGAGCTGCTGCTCCCCACCCTAGTTCTCAGTCATGGCTGCACACAGGAATCACAGGGATGCTTGTGTCCTACCAGCGTGAGTGATGGGAACTTTTCAAAGCTTCCCAGGTGATTCTAATATGCAGCAAATGCTAACAACCACTGTTCTTCACCATGGCACCTCTATTAATGTCATTCAAAATGGCTTTTTATGGGATTAATGAGATGAATGGCATTGCGTTCCAATGAGTGTCTGTCTTTCTAGGTCATAACAGTCAACACTTGCTCTCAAAGTGACCAGTTGATTTCAGAGCCAGGAGGAAATAACATCTCAGTAGAAGAGGACTGCAGCAGGAACTGGCTCACAGTATCCAAATTTAGTCAGATAAGTATGTAACAAGTCTGTGCTCTTAGATCCCCCAAACTCTGCTAGACTTGCCTCACTTTACCCCCAAGACCACTGGTAGGCTCTGCTGTTTCTTTCAAGTGGAGATGAGGGAATGAGAGAGTGGCAATGTCCTCTTAGGAAAATATCTCCTATTTTTAACTTTTATTAAAAGGGACAAAATTTCCATTTATGTAATAGAAAACCTGTTAGGATCCAGAAAAGAAAACTTTAGATTTAGGTAGTCTCCTACATCCAGAGCTATTCAACCTCAGAGCTTGCTCATTTAGTCTGATTTATGGAGTGGGGGTTGTCTAATTTTATAAATTCTTAAGGTTCATGTGACATTGATATGGACTCCTACACAGGACTCAGTGGATCGAGTTGCAGGTGGTTATTTACTACTGCTGACATAATGAGTTTATTCTATGGGCAAATGTCCCTTAAGCTTAATAATGATAGTGTTTGTAGAGAAGAGAAGATGGATCAACTAGGAATTAAAGCAATGAGCTAAGCATAGAATGTGAAATCAGCTTGGATGGGTAAAATGAGGGCAGTTTATGAAAAGAATTGAGAGCAATGATCAGAACTTTGAACTTCATGCATTAGATAATAAGAGACCTTTACTGATTTTTCAACAGAAGGGGCTAGTGATTAGGGACTCAAAAAGATTTAAAATTACTTGTGGGAGTAAATAAGCTTAAAATAGATGATTGAAATCTGTGGTATTATGCTTCTTTGAAACCTTGCTTTCTCTCATCTGTGGTTGGTGTTCAACCAAGAGGCGATGTTGTGCTGACCACCCTGCAGCCCCCATCCTTGTCCCTGGACATTTGCCCATGTCTGAAGACATTTTCAGATCTCATAACCCAGCGAGGGGCAGGTGCTCTTGGCATTGAGTGGGTAGAGGCCAGGGATGCTGCTGACCATTGGACAATACATGGGACAGTCTGTCCCTTCCAAACAAGGAGTTATCCAGCACCAAAAGTCAATGCCAAGGTTGAGAAACCTTGACTAATACTTAAAAATACTCAGTTGTCTGTTAAACTGCTTAGAATCAGATGGACTCTGAGCTGAAAGGGACATTAGAAATTAAAATTATTCAGAGCCCTCTCAATTTACAGATATGACTCAAGAGCTTAAATTGTTTTGCCTTAAATCTCACAGTTTACTAGAACCTTTAATGTTGACTAAATTAAATCTCATAACTAAGCATATCTAGGACCAGTTGTAGATATATTCATTTTATTTATAAATGTCTATTTATATTATATATTATAATTTATAAATAGTCTAACTGATATTCAGGTTATTATATATCATTCTTAAATTCTTTTTTTTACTGAGATCTAACTGACATGTAACATTGCATTAGTTTTAGGTAAACAGCATAATGATTTGTATATAATTACTACAAGTAAAATAATTACTACAAGTTTACCATACATAGTTACAATTTTATAATATACATAAAATACATATACCCACCACCATACAGTTAGAATATTTTTTCTTGTGATGAGAACTTTTAAGATCTACCGTCTGAGAAACTTTCAAATATACAATGCAGTATTGTTAATTATAGTCACCATACTGTTGTACGTGCTGGACACTACATCCCCCCAGGACTTACTTATTTTATAACTGGAAGTTTGTACCTTTGGACTACTTTCATGCATTTTACTCACTTTCCCCCACCTCAAATTATTTAAGTTCTTTCTAGTGAATTTCAAACAGAAAGATGTGGATGGCAGAGGGTTCTGGGAAAGAATCTCATTAAGTCCCATGGTCAGAAAGGGAGAGAAGATAAGAGGGGGAATATGCCGACTGCAGGGGCCTGGCTAATGTGAAGAAGCGAAGAGGCCCAGTACTCACCTTGAACCACATTCCAACTTGAGAATCTTACTTTTTTATCTGAGCTAAGAATTAATTGATTAAAAATTAAAAAAAAATAAAAGTTTGAGGGTTGGGAGGTGCCCTGTCAGGTAGCTCTCTCTAAACACAAAAAGTAAAGTTCTGAGGAAATTTAACTATAAAAAGGGAAAGTATCTTTTTAGCTTTTCCTGTACATATTTTATTTTAATTATAGTGCTGTGCTATCATTGAAGCCATATTTATCTTCATTTGATGATACTACAAAAAATATCACATATGAAGTTTTACTTTTTCAAATTGGGTGTTTGCACTTTTTTGTTTCAGCACTAAACCACTAGGGAGAAAATTGTAACTGCTATTGCCTGCATTTAGTCAGGGTCTCTTAGTAAGTATTACTCTCAGAATTAATTCAACTGAGTATTTATTACATTTTTATTGGACACCTACGATATGATAGTGACTTTGTAGGTACCAGGTATTAAGAAATAATAAGAGTAATGATTTTGGTCATCTTTTTTAAGAAAAGACTACAAATTAAACCTGTTTGCTGGCATGTATTTCTACCTTTATTTTGTTTTCTAAATAGCCTACTATGAATTTGTTAACTAAAGCTTGGGCACATATTTTAAATAAAGTGTTTTTTTATAGGAGGACAGGTTACGGATAATTTATATCTCAACTTTAATAGAGAAGTATATTGTTGAAAATGTAATATTGAAGAATAGAAGTTGAATACATAGCTTTCAACCACTTGAGAAAAAAAGGACAAAGGAATCTTGGTAAAACTTGCTACAAAGAGAAAAAACTATATTCAAATGTAGATAAATGCATTGTGTTCAGATCTATCTGTTTGGGAACTGTGATTTGAATGTAACACGTTTTCATGTATTCTCTAACTTTTTTCTTCCTTTTAACAAGGTCTGGAACCTTACATATATCAGAAAATGAAAACTAAAGAAATTGAACGGCATGCTGTACAAGTTAGCGATTATCTAAAACAGTCTCAAGAGGTAAAAACATTTTATTTTATATTTTCCAAAAAAAGGATTCATCTACACAACACTTCTCTAACTTCTTGACAGTGTTTTACCTTTATGTCCCTTAATTGGCTTCTACTTTTTATTGGTATTACATTTAGTCTCTGTTTTGAATATTCACTCCATTTTTCCACCCTCCTCCTCCCTCCCTTACTTTATTCTTTCCTTGTTCTTTATGCAATTTGTTGATCCACCGAATAATTAATTCTGGGCATTTCTAGCATGAAAGAGAAAGAATTCAGGATTTTTTTAAACTGTTTTTCACATATGTGGAAGTTGCCATGAAGGAGAAAAATAGGCAATTTATCAGTACTTTTTTAAGAAATAGGGCTAGAATCAGCAAGCAGAAGGTACTGGGAGACAGACTGCAGCCCCACTGGAGCAGGAACTTTTAGCAAATTGGAGCTTTCCAAGGACAGAATGGTTTATTTCTGGAAGGAGTGAGTTCCTCACGTAGTGTGGTTAGTCAAACAGGACAAGTAAACCTCCTTGCTGACGTGTTAGATGGGATTTGGGTTTGCAGAACACAGGACCCTCTGTGTTTTTCCAGTGCTGAGGTTCCCGGATTTTTGCAGTCTGTTTTTCTGACCATCCAGAAATACGTGCCTGTTTAACTGCCATCCACATGTGGGAAGTGTGATCTAGTTTTCCTAACTCAAGAAATCTAATTTTGGTCTTGGTTTGAACATTATTTCCATGAACTTGGGAACTGTATACCTATTACCTATATGAATGCATGCTTACAACCTCAGATGTTCTTTGTAGGAATGTAATCTATGAAAAGTTTTGTAAGTAAAATGTAAGACTCCTTGAAAGTAATTGGAGGCAAGAACCTGTTTGCCATGTCGAATCCTGGTCCTGCTACTTCTTGGGTTTCAAAGCTATATACATTAACTAACCTAGAAGCCATTAGGTGTTCTCTCTAGAGTGGAGTTAATGGCATCTTTACAAGGTTCTTCATAGTGTATAATAAAAATAGCATTAATGAAGATGCCTAGAATCACGCCTGGAGTGTCCTAGGGCTCAAGAAATAATAGTTGAATCTAAATAAGAATTAGAATGATGTAAATTCAGGATAACATTATTCTAAATATTGATCAACTGAAACAATAATGTACTGATGATAGGACATTAATGATGTAATTATGCGTGTTTCCTGTCAACTTTGACCTTCATTCCTTCTTCGTGTAATTGATTTTTATAATTTCACTCTTATTTCTGTAAAAACCTTTATATATTGCATTTTATTCTATGATATCTCCATAAAAGCAATTTGGTCCTGTTAAAGTTCATCAGCACTTTTGAGTCACTCTGATATAGTGCTAACGTTATGCATATTCCTAGCTTGAGTTTAGTATGTTTAGTAAAAGAGAAATACTGAGCTAGAGAAAGGGTAAAAAAATAGAACTATGCCTTCTGAGGAGTGTGATTTGTAATGTATTAGAAGCTGGGGTCAGGAGAATGTTGCGTGAACATGTGATGCCCTTTCCTTTCTGCTCAGGATCTGAGCAAAAGCTCTTTGTGGAATTCCAGGAGCGCCAACCTCAATAGAAAGGGCATGTGAGTATTTCTAAATGTCTGTCTTTAAGCATCTTTGGCTTCCTTTATTTTTTTTAACCTCATTGGGAACAAAGGTTTAATTGGGTCAGAAAAGGAGAGAAAAAGATGTGTGTGCAATAACAATATTTTTCCTTCATTAACAAGAATGAAACTCATTTATTCTCCAAGTGTTTTTGTTCTGGAACAAGATCTCACCTCAGTGTCTTTTAAGAATATAAGGAAACACTTTCTACTACAGCAAATTAGACATTTGCCTTTTTAGTGTCGAAAAAGCACACATGGAAAAACGAGTATCCTATCTTTTCTGATAGATAAGATTGTGAAATTTACTTTAAAGAGTAGGAATAAATCTGTTTTGCCTAAAGAAAAAAGGCTTAGACTGGAAGACCTGATCTTTTTTCATTTAGTTTTTTTCAATTTTTGTTTTTAGTTCATGAGGTTGATCTTTTTTATTTTTGGTTTTTCATTAATATCCTAAGTGTTTGTCAAAGCAGTAACTCTTTGAGAAAGAAAGAAACAGAGCAGGAAAGGATGATGGTTACACATATAGAGAGAGGAGATAAAGAACTCACACAGGTGTAGATGAGTATCCTCCTGCAATTTTATTTATTCAGAGAAATAAAATTTGAAAACCAATCAAGCAAAGAATATTCTATCTGCAGTGTTTTCTGGACCTTTCCAGTTTCATCATAAAATTAACTGTCCATACAGCTAGAGGAGCAGAATTCAATACCTTCCACTCTACGAAGGGCCAGCTGGTCCCAGGCAGGTAAAATGGGACTTCCAGTGTGCAGTCCACTCTATCTGACATGGCCTTTTTCTCAGGAGCCCCCATCAAGGTCTCTCCTGGCAAGCCTGCCTCTAGACTTACAGTACACATGACTTTCTTCTCCCGAAGGTTCAGTCGTTTGTGCTCAGGCAGGGTGGTGGGTTATTGCAGCATGAAATTAAACAATAATTGTAATTGTACTTTCTTCCCTGAGGACCTTAAATACTGGAGATACTCTTTGAATGCATTTATTCTGACTTGCCCGTGGCCACTTGCGCACTTGAGCAGGGCAAGTAACAATTTAAAGAGAACTAATTTCAGCCTGTGAACATTTAGAGGCCACGTGGGCTAATGAAACTGATTTGTAGGCTTGTCCAGAGACATTCACAGACTCATTTGTAGGCATCTGCTTTGCATAGTTTAGGAACCCTTTAGTTTAATTGATTCAGAACAACACAAACACAGTTAAATCTTATATATGTTGTGTGATCATATAGATAATTAAAAATAAAAACCAACAACTGTTTTTCAGTTAGCTTAGGGCATATGCGGTAAACAAGTTACATGCATGCCTGCTGCTCATTTTTCAATGAAAATAATAGGAGAGCTGAAAACTATTTCTCTATTGGTAAAGATAGAGGTAAGATGAAGGTGATACTTTTCTTGCAAAGAAATATATACACACATATGTATGCATAGACTCTATTGTTACTGTTTCACATATTTTTCCTTTCTTTAATCATTGAAAAATTTAAAGCATATCTAAACCACCCTAATTTTTTGAACAGGTTGAGAAGTTCAAATGGAGCTGACAGTAAGTTTTTATATTTAAACATTTTATTTTTATTTATTTTCATTTTATTAATGGTGAGATTCACTCTCCTGCTGAGATTTTCATGGTTCTTGAAATTGATTGATTTTTGTCTCCTATAACAAAGTAGAAGTTCAGTAGAAAAGGAGAAAGTTAAATGTCTTTCTCCAGATAAATCAGGACTGATGTCTGGCTGAAAATTATTTGAATTCCCCATTTTCCAGTTTTTTGTGTGTCCTGAGGGCATAAGCACTGAGCTCATTTAGGTAGTTCCAGCAACTCTTACTGTCACTTTTTACATTGCTTATTAGGAGCCATTTGTAAGCTTGTATGTGGATACCTTTTTCCTCTATGGTTTCAGTAGGACTCGGCCCCAAAGGGCTAAGTGGGGCTACCAACTCCCTGGTAAGGTAATCCTCAATAGCTCCTCTTAAACTTTGCTACAGTCTACTAGTTCCTTCCCAAGTGCTTGACCCCTGCTGCAGAGTGGCCACCTCACTCTTCTATGGTCTTGTTCTATGCCACTTTCTCTGACTTTCAGTACCTCCCTTGCAGCTGGTTCCTTCCCCTCCAACTACAAATTTAAGTCATTTTCTACACACACACATACAATCCTTTTCAAAATTTCACCTAGCCTTCAAACTGCCTCTCTTGTCCCTTATCTCCAAATTAATTGAAAAAGTATTAACATTTGCTCTTCAGCCCAGGGTGCCTATCCCTGCCACTCTACTGAAACTCCACGCTCACTGCGAAGTCGCAGGACCTCTTTTTAGCCCTCACTGAACCTGTGGCATTTGACCTTCACCATTTTATCCACTTTCTAAGTTTCCATGAGGCTGTTCTTCCCCGGCTGTTCTTCTGTTTCTTTGTTGACTGGCCACTCTGATGCCCTCCTCTTCTTCTACCACGGCGGGGAATCTCAGTCATTTACAGTGTCCTTCCTACTTCCACTGCTCTCAGCTATCAATTTGCCTTCTAACTCCAAATCATCCCAGGCCTCATCTTTCCAAACTGTGTTTTGCTCTACCCTGCTGTTCTTGCCTTACATCTCCAGCTCTTGTTTTCCTACATACTAAATGAATACTTTCTTTAGCTCTTGATTTTGTGTCATCACTGTGGGTGGTCTCCCTCTCTTTACATTTTCCTCTGTTCCTTTTGGAATTATCTTTCTGAACAATAAATCATCACTAATATAGCAACTTTTGATGGCCTCCCCTTGCCTAGGCTACAAATGTCTGAGTTTTTTACTTGACAGCCTGGCCCCGGCCCAGATCTCCAGGTTCATGTTCATGAGCCCTTTCACTCAACACGTCTTCTTCCATGCGGCGTATAACCACCCACCTGTTAGCACCTCCTCTGGGGTGTCCGGAAGGCGTCACCAACAAAACGGCTCACCTTTCCCATCCATCCCAGGAAGTAGCAGTTCTGCCTTTGCAACTGCTGAGGCCCAAGTCTTGCAGTCATACTGATTCCCATTTCCTCACATCCCCACTTCCAATCCATCAGTAATCCTTCCAAATTTATCAAAAATCTGATCCCTTTGCTACTTCCACTTATCATTCTTTATCTCTTCCCCAGATCACATGATGGCCTCCAAGCTATTCCTCTCTGACAGTCTGTTTCCAGAGGACATCCAGAATTAGCCTTTTAAAGTCAAATTGAGTCACTTTTCTGCTGAAATGGTGTTCCAGCTTGCTCTGTAAAAGCAAAGGGCCAACAAAGTTTACAAGGCCCTGTTGGTCCGGCCCCCTCTTCCAACTCTCCAACCCCATTTCCTCTCAGCACAGCCACCTTAATACTGAAGTGCAGTCCTGCCTCATGGCATTTGCACTTGCTGTTTTCTTTGCCTGAAATATTCTTCCTTTATCCATGGACTTATCCCCTCTCTTCCTTCAGGTCTATGCTCAAATTTCACCTTATCAAAGAGGCCTTGCCCAACCACCCTATATAAAATAGGAATCCCCCTCCCACACTTCCTAACCCTCTTAACTTGATGTATATGTAATATACTAGATACAGTCCATAGATTGTAGCCAGAGACGTTATCTGTCTTTATTACTTCTCTTTCTCTTGAGCATAGACCAGTGCCTGGCACATAGTAGGTATTGAATAAATATGTGTTGAATGAATGATCTCACAGCTCCTTATGGGGTGAAGCTAGGATTTATCAACTTTGTCAAACTCAGATGCCCATACTCTTTTAAGTATTTCACACCGTTTGTTTAGGAAGTTTTCATAGGCCTCTGTGTGCTTCTCTACTATATTACTTAGCAAACTGTATTATATTATTACTATAGTTTCCATGTCTTTCTCTCCCAGCATCTCATCTTTGCTTTTCTTTAGGGTGGGAGCCACATCTTACTCACATCTGTCACACCTAGCATGCCCTATAGTGGGAGCTGAATATTTTTATTATTGAACTAACTCAGAAAGGAAGATTCTATTCTGATGATCTTACGTTTTACCAAGCACCCCCAAAGGAAGGGATTTTTGTTCCTTCCCTTATCCAGCAACAAGAAGCCAGAGAGATCTGTGAAATGAGGCTCTTTATGCTGTTTACTCTGCTAGGTATAAAGCAGTTACCACCATGAGACTAAAATTCTCCACTTTAATTTTGATTTTATGAAACAGCAAAACTGTTGCAAAGGATTTCTCTGGAGCCTAGTAATTTAGGACTTGAGCACATAGGAGAGAACCAGTTAAACTTGCAGGAGGGGTTCCCAGCACACAGTCCTCTGTAACCACACAAATCCCTTGGTGCCATATTCTCCGCCCACCCCTTTGTTCCTGGTATACACCTCTTAATGTGTTTTCATCATTTGATTGTCATTTTAGATCAGTGAAGTAGTCTGCTAATAACTTGGTATTAATATTGTCTTTAACTGCATCTTGGTGGGAAGTCCAGAGAATTGTGCTTCTGGGATGTCATGAAGTGTGATGGGCAGCTGAGTGCCTTCTGCAGCAGAGGTGTAATTGGTTCAGAGGAAATACATCTTTGAGGCTAATATTACCTGTCTTTCTTCAATTCCCTCTATTAATATGTTTGGAGATATTGCATTGATGATTGGAAACTGTCAGGATACCATGCCCAATAATGTGGTTAAAGGATATTAGATAATCTTTTTCAAATACTGAAAAGCCATTCTGATTAACCTGTTCAATAATAACTTTGAAGGCAACATATTCATAAGCATGTATTTATCTCTAGCCAACTAATTAAAATGACAATCTTCTCTATAATTTCAGAAATCTCAGCCTCCTTAAAGAGCCCTCAAGAGTCCCACCATCATTATTCAGGTAGGATGCATGCGCACATAGATATGTCAACTGAGCTAAATGTCTGTGATTTTGCATCTGTAAACAGAAACACTGATGAACTCCATAGTATTGACATGTCTCCCAACTTGAAAAGTGGTTCACTCTGATGAGAACATTCTGATTTCTTATCTTGCCATTGACTTGGGACAACAAGTTGTTAGGACTTAAGAGCATTTGGATTTTTAAAAAACATTTGTGTTGGCGAGTTCCGATTGTGAAGGCAAAAGATGACCTTGAGAGCTAAAAGTTCCTTCCAAGCTCTGAACCAGCCCAAAGTCAGAGGTCTCCATATTTTGGACTGTGGGAGATACAGGCCTAAAACTAGCTCTTTGAGGGAGGACTTTGTACCTTCACTGGGCCTTCAGTGAACACAACCACTGAATGAACACCAGTCCCACAGAGTAAGTTCAACAAAGACACCTTCCAAGGGTGTTATTAAAAAAGACGCCAAGGGTCTTGACTTTCTTAAGCAATGTCATGTTCACAGTGCTTGACTTGTCTTTCTTTCAAGATGGGAACAATTGTACTTGCCCTTCCGAGGAACAGTCTGCCAAAGGGCTAGTGGGGAATTAAGAAACACTTTCAAATGCAAAGTGATATAGTAATTGACTGGGCCTGGGCCACTGTGGGGTTCCTGGGGGGCCATTGCTCTGAGCGCCGGATGAGCTGATACACAGGCAAGTCTTTTGTACAATCTCAAGCTGAGCACATGAGTAAGAGCTTATTGGTGTGATAAGCACCATTATTAGTATGTCAAGGTCATGTATTTAGGGTCCGGTAATAGACTGCCTTCTCCTGAATTCTCCTCTGTAGTGAATAGTGTTTCTGTGGATTCCAGACTCTGCATTCCAGTCTCCTATAACTAGGTCTTTCAGCTCAGCAGCTTTTGACTCCATCTGTGAACATAAAGTCTCTAGTGAGGAAACCTGTAACTCACATATTGACTCTGATCTGTTAGGATATGACTCTTAACAGGAAAATGAAGATCACTTGCTTCTAATTAAAATTGGTCTTCAGCTCTCTCTGGAAAGAGCAGGTGAACTGTGCAGAGTCAACAGTAGATGTCCCCACAGTCTGTTGCGCACTAGCTCTGCTCTGGAGAAGAAACACCCGAAAATGAAGACTGCAGAGTAAAATGCCCTTTAAAAGAAAAGTTCCACATACGTATGGATTAGTATGTGCTCTGATATTCACGAGACTGGAGATGATAGCCCTACCTCAGGCACGTTATATAATCTCAAATAATCTGTTCCTGGGGTAACACTGGGGTATCCTTCCTGTTTAAGGCGTACTTTATTTTAAAAACTGCATTATAGGAAATATTTTTAATAGAAGCAAAGAAAAGGGGTTTTGGAAATGAAATATTTTAGCATCATACGAATATACTGATGTGGGGGAGGCTTTCTGTAAATTCAAACCACTGGTGCCTACTTAAAATTGTGAATCTATTTTTATTTGCAGCCATTGAAAGAAACAACTTAATGAGGCTCTCACAGACCATACCATTCACACCCATCCAGCTGTTCGGTGAGCGCCACTTCTACCTTCCTGAGGCTGTGCTGGGGCAGAGGCATAACATCTGAGGGAATCAAAGGGGAACCCATTTTGTGTCATTTTAGTGGAAAATTTCATTTTGCTGGTGATTTTGCCAGTGGTTGCAGTTTAGTGAGATGAATTTCCTAAAATGGAAACTCTTGTTAACTGCCTGGCCAGCACTTAGGGTCAAAATCTAATACTATGGGGATGGGGCTGATGATGAGCAACAGTTGGGAAAAAAGCAATAATGTTGCACCTGGCATTCACTGACTTAAGGCTGAAAGTAAGTAGGAAAGTAAAGGACCAACTAACCAGGAGAAATAAATGCAGAAGAAAGTGATAAATGTCAATATGATAAAATCTAACAGACATCTGAAGAGAAATGCTTTGTAGGTTGTTTTTTGTTTATTTTGTTTTCTGTAAACTAATTGCTCTTAGCTCAGAGAGCAAATGTCATTTTTAAAGGCTGGACTAGTAAAGAAAAACAAGCTTGCATTAGCCAAGGCTACCAGAGTCTCTCTGTCCAGCCACCTGACAGTTTAACAGGGTGCCGCAGGCCATCCTAGACCTTGGTTCTCCTCACACGCTTCTCATGGGGATGGACCAGGTTTCTGATCACTTACGCAAATACCTTCTCCTTCCCCTTGGCTCCGTGGCTGGTTTGCAACTCAGTAACTCTGCTCCAAGTATTTAGGACTCTAAAGAGACCTCCCCAGTGGCATTCATCTGGGCACCAAGAATAAATGTTTGAAAATAATGTTATTGAACATTACCTAGACATGTTTTTTTGGTAAGTGGTTACATGCCAGAGTGAGCAAATAGATTCCTTTCTTGGGAAACCAGTACAGTGATCACAAAAAAAACCCTGTGAAGCGCATGTATAAGGAGAAAATTAAACACAAGCTCCATAGAAGTTTGTATAGAAAATGTGACTTCTGTTATGAAATGTTAAACAGTGTTTTAGCTTGAGTCTAGGCTGAATGAGAATTGCTCCCTGTTCAACAGCCTAAAAGCAGAAGCAGTACAGCAGTTAAGGAGTGCTTTTGTCTGTAAAATCTTTTATGTGGGATAGCGTTTGTATCTGAGGTTCCAGTTCACCTGAGCCAGTTTAATATATTTAATCACTACAACGACCCAATGAGGTGAGCATTATTTTTCACTCCCATTTTACTGATGAGGAAACTGAGGTTTTATTTGTTCAAAGGCACAAAGGAAGGAGGAAGAGGCTCTGGGGTATGACCTCGGTTCTGTCACAGCTGGGTGAAAACATGTATTCTCAGTTGGGGCAATATCACCACCAAGGGAGCAAAAACATCTTTTTATGTATAAAGCACAGATATATATATATATATATAGTACATAAATACACACATACACACACACACACACACGTATAGTACATAAATGGATACATGTCTGCATTTGGTATTAAAATACCATGGAAGCTGCAATTAGGAAAAAAATGTCTAATAAGGGAGATGATAATGAAAACATAGGGATAAACTATCTCTCTCCAATTATTTGTCTTTAACAAAAGAAGCATGACCTTATGATGATTTCATTTCCATCTATAGTCTGTAAGAACAGCAACTTGATTCTTGTACATCATCCAATATTTTGTCCCTTCTCCCCCTTTGTTGAGCAATAATATGGTCTGAACCATGCCCTTACTCTGTACCTGAACCTGCATAGGTGAAATTCCCATCTCCTCTGACCACCTGGGAAACTGAACAGATTCTGGGTTGACACTTAGGATGGCATCCATGTCACAGATGTGGGATCTCACTGAACTCCTCGCCTGCACTTTTTTTTTTAGGGGTCAGAAAAAAAATTGTTTTTTTAATTGAAGGATAGTAGATACACAATCTTATATTAGTTTCAAGTATACAATCACCTGCACTTCTTTTTGCAGCCGGAGAAGAAGTAACTGTCTACAGGCTGGAGGAGAGTTCCCCTCTGAATCTTGATAAAAGCATGTCTTCCTGGTCCCAGCGAGGGAAAGCAGCCATGATCCAGGTGCTGTCCCGAGAGGAGATGGACGGGGGCCTGCGCAAAGCCATGAGAGTCATCAGCACTTGGTCTGAGGATGATGTTCTCAAGCCTGGGCACGTTTTCATTGTGAAGTCTTTCCTTCCCGAGGTTGTACAGACCTGGCACAAAATCTTCCAGGAGAGCACTGTGCTTCATCTGTGTCTCAGGGTAAGTCAGAGACCCAGAGCCCAGATGGATGGGTCAGGGAAGGGAGAGCTGGCTGGGTCCTGATCAAAGGCTCTTATCATCAGCCCCAAGGGTACCCTATTCTTTTTTGCTGGTGGTAGTGTTTCGCTATCTTTGTTTTGTAGAGGTTTTGCTTTTGGAGTGTGGAATGGAGAGGGCAGAATATAATCACACTTGGGATGCCTCTAGTAATTCTGTCATCATTAGTTAGTAGGCATGTAATAGTAAACCAATATATTTACCAGTGCTCCCTATTTTATAGGAAATCCAACAACAAAGAGCTGCTCAAAAACTGATCTATACCTTCAACCAAGTGAAACCACAAACCATCCGCTACACACCAAGGTAAGGAGATATTAGACCCTTGCCCCTTCATTTTAAGTAGGAATTTCTATCATTTCTTCTCAGCCGTATTAGTTATGAAACGGGCCAGACCCATGGGGAATGTCCCCATGACTTATTTTGGGTCTTCTCTTCTATAGTTCTGTAGACTGATAAATACAATTAGATATCCCAAGACACCTTGGCTTAAATACCTGAAGTTATGTGAGTGGAAAAGAGAAATTCAAGCAGAGGCTATGATTAACCTCTCAACCTCTTGAAACGGGAAGATCTAGGTATAGTTACTAATGTCCAGGAACATTATGGTAGCAAACCATTTCTACTTGAAGCATAATTTATTTCCCTAATATCTTACAGAAATTAGGAACCTTATAAGAATGAACTCTTGTTACTTTCCCTTAAGTGTCTTCATCCACTCATTACATTCATTTAGCATGATAGAGCATAAGTTGATGCTGAAGATTGTAGTAAAGTACTATCGTTTCAATTATGAGGAACTTTATAGGGCATGGCAAGGAAAGTTGTATCTGATACTCAAAAAAGAGCTGCCTTTTCCTCAGAGAGAAGGCAGGCAGGTGGGCGTGGGGAACCCTCTCCACTTTGCCATCTGCCTCTTCCATAGAAAGGCGAAGGCTTGGGTATTGAAGCTGCGTCAGACCAGAGTTAGGTGATCTTCCCTGTTGCTGAGTGTTCAGTAATGGAAGTCCCCCTTTTGCTGCCTTGTGGGGAAATCAGTGGCCTCTTATTCCTCCTCATAGGTTCCTGGAAGTTTTCTTAATCTACTGCCATTCAGCCAATCAGTGGTTGACCATCGAGAAGTATATGACGGGGGAGTTCCGCAAGTACAACAATAACAACGGTGATGAAATCGCCCCCACCAACACCCTGGAGGAGCTCCTGTTGGCTTTTTCTCACTGGACCTATGAGTATACTCGGGGAGAGCTACTGGTTTTAGATTTGCAAGGTGATTGTTAGCCTAGGACTCAATACAGCAAGCATGAGGCAGAGGCCAGGAGACATTCTGGTTTTAGATTTGCAAGGTGATTGTTAGCCTAGGACTCAATACAGCAAGCATGAGGCAGAGGCCAGGAGACGTTGACCAGGAATTGCTTTCTCCATTATTATCACCCACATATGAGCCTAGCTCTCTCTTTACCCAAAGCCATAGTTAAGGGCTTTCAGTGAAGACATTACTTGACAGTATGTGTGTGTTCGTTTGTTTTTTAAAATTTGAAAATGGAAAGATGTTATTGTTTTTCTGGATTTATTTATTGTTTGTGAAACTGTCCTAAATGGGACTAACTAGATGGGTGTCCCAAGAAATCTTGCAAGAACCAGAATGCGTAGGGTGTAGAGTCACTTCATCTTGTTTTGAAGGGAGGTGGGGCCATTTATTTCAGGGACATTGTATAGTGATGATATTGAGCACCTACCATGTTTCCCCCTTAGATCAAGGGAAAAATAGAGGCAGATGAATAGCTGCCTAAAACTTAAAGACATCTAAAACTTTGGTCTAAGTAGTTAATGATTTCTGCACCAAATTTTCCCGTTTTGTGACTTTACCTTGGACTTAGGTTCACAGCATACATACATACATTCATACACACAGGAAAGTTTAAATTCTGGACATTTTTCATGATTTTGAGTTCAGTGCTTTAGCAGTTTATAATTTACTTTGCTCTCATTGCTGTGTACCTTGATTGTATCTGATACTCAAAAAAGAGCTGCCTTTTCCTCAGAGAGAAGGCAGGCAGGTGGGCGTGGGGAACCCTCTCCACTTTGCCATCTGCCTCTTCCATAGAAAGGCGAAGGCTTGGGTATTGAAGCTGCGTCAGACCAGAGTTAGGTGATCTTCCCTGTTGCTGAGTGTTCAGTAATGGAAGTCCCCCTTTTGCTGCCTTGTGGGGAAATCAGTGGCCTCTTATTCCTCCTCATAGGTTCCTGGAAGTTTTCTTAATCTACTGCCATTCAGCCAATCAGTGGTTGACCATCGAGAAGTATATGACGGGGGAGTTCCGCAAGTACAACAATAACAACGGTGATGAAATCGCCCCCACCAACACCCTGGAGGAGCTCCTGTTGGCTTTTTCTCACTGGACCTATGAGTATACTCGGGGAGAGCTACTGGTTTTAGATTTGCAAGGTGATTGTTAGCCTAGGACTCAATACAGCAAGCATGAGGCAGAGGCCAGGAGACATTCTGGTTTTAGATTTGCAAGGTGATTGTTAGCCTAGGACTCAATACAGCAAGCATGAGGCAGAGGCCAGGAGACGTTGACCAGGAATTGCTTTCTCCATTATTATCACCCACATATGAGCCTAGCTCTCTCTTTACCCAAAGCCATAGTTAAGGGCTTTCAGTGAAGACATTACTTGACAGTATGTGTGTGTTCGTTTGTTTTTTAAAATTTGAAAATGGAAAGATGTTATTGTTTTTCTGGATTTATTTATTGTTTGTGAAACTGTCCTAAATGGGACTAACTAGATGGGTGTCCCAAGAAATCTTGCAAGAACCAGAATGCGTAGGGTGTAGAGTCACTTCATCTTGTTTTGAAGGGAGGTGGGGCCATTTATTTCAGGGACATTGTATAGTGATGATATTGAGCACCTACCATGTTTCCCCCTTAGATCAAGGGAAAAATAGAGGCAGATGAATAGCTGCCTAAAACTTAAAGACATCTAAAACTTTGGTCTAAGTAGTTAATGATTTCTGCACCAAATTTTCCCGTTTTGTGACTTTACCTTGGACTTAGGTTCACAGCATACATACATACATTCATACACACAGGAAAGTTTAAATTCTGGACATTTTTCATGATTTTGAGTTCAGTGCTTTAGCAGTTTATAATTTACTTTGCTCTCATTGCTGTGTACCTTGGTATGACAGGGAATGAAAGCACAAACTCTGTCTGAGAGAGGCGACCCAGTGCACTCTTATTTAACGAAAACCTTTGATCGGTTCATCTCCCCACTATCAACACCTCACATGTGATTTATAATCCTGCAGGACAAAACAGAGTCTCTCTAGCAGGCTTTCCTTGCAGGGACAGAACGAAATATGTATTAAGGTCAAAGTTTAGTCCCTGGGCTCACTGACTGGGACTTTGGTTTTAAATAGGGGATTTAGCCCAGGAACTTTCAGAGAAGTTATCTCATTTAATCCTAGAAGCAGCACCTCAAGGTAGATATTATAGAGAATTTAGGCCCAGAAAGTTTAAATAACTTGCCCAAGGTTGCACAGCTACTTAAGAGGAAGCCAGGATGCAGACTTAATCTGGTTGACCATTCCTGTTCTTTCCTTTTCACTGTGCTGTCTGTTATTTAGGAGTTTTACGCTGATAAGACACAACTGGTTAATTTAAACAGAATGGGCCTCTTCTTGTCTTCTCTGACTGTCCTACCTCTCCAGTCCTCGGATTCTGTGCTAACAGCCAGGCTGGGAAACGAGGGACAGTGAAGATAAGCAGGCAATCCTGGGGCATTGTGAACAATGTCCACTAAGACTGCAAAGCCAATTTTGATGAACATTTGTGCCACGCGCACAATGATGTACGTACACTGTTTACACAAAAGTCCTTCTGTTCTTTCGGATCTGTGCTGTTTACAGGTTGAATTATATTTCCAACCCTCAGACACAATATTTTAGGAAGCAAATTAAAGTTAAAACAGTCAAGATGATTCAGCTTTTAAACCAGTAAGTGCATGATCCATGTAAAACCCAGCAGGCTGATGCCCAAGGCATCTGCTTCTGCGGCTCATGTCAGGGAGAGGCTGTTTTCCTCTGTACTTCAGTGTCTGTGCTTTGAGTTTGGGGTGGAGTTGTTTAAAAAGAAACACAGAAACAAAAAAACAACCAAAGACAAACTTTAAGGAATTAATGATGACTCTTCAGTGTGTTTTTTTTTTTTAGATAATTATTTTTTATTGAAGGGTAGTTGACACACAGTATTACATTAGTTTCAGGTGTACAACACAGTGACTCAACATTTATATACATGATAATTCTAGGTACCAGCTATCACCATACCAAGTTGTTACAATATTTTGACTATATTCCTTATGCTAGACATTACATCCCGGTTACTTATTTATTTCACAATTGGAAGTGTGTACTTTTTTGTTTTGTTTTGTTTTGTTTTGTTTGTTTTTTTTGTTTTTTTTGTGAGGGCATCTCTCCTATTTATTGATCAAATGGTTGTTAACAACAATAAAATTCTGTATAGGGGAGTCAATGCTCAATGCACAATCATTAATGCACCCCAAGCCTAATTTTTGTCAGTCTCCAATCTTCTGAAGCATAACGAACAAGTTCTTACATGGAGAACAAATTCTTACATAGTGAGTAAGTTACATGGTGAACAGTACAAGGGCAGTCATCACAGAAACTTTCAGTTTTGATCATGCATTATGAACTATAAACAATCAGGTCAAATATGAATATTCGTTTGATTTTTATACTTGATTTATATGTGGATCCCACATTTCTCCCTTTATTATTATTATTATTATTATTTTTAATAAAATGCTGAAGTGGTAGGTAGATGCAAGATAAAGGTAGAAAACATAGTTTAGTGCTGTAAGAGGGCAAATGTAGATGATCAGGTGTGTGCCTATAGACTAAGTATTAATCCAAGCTAGACAAGGGCAACAAAACATCCACGGATGCAGAAGATTTCTCTCAAAGCAGGGGGGGTGAGGTTCTGAGCCTCACCTCTGTTGACCCCCAATTTCTCACCTGATGGCCCCCCTGCGACTGTGCCTGTCTTAGGTTGTTCCTCCCTTGAGGAATCTTACCCGTCTCTGGCTAACCAGTCATCTTCCGGGGCCATACAGGGAAATGTAAAGTTGGTAAGTGAGAGAGAAGCCTTATTGTTTGAAAAGGTTAGTTTTTTACTTCTTTGGATATTTATGCCCTGTGGCTTCTATGCCCAGCATTTGTCTTGAAGTATCTTTACCACTTGGATGAATTATGATACTCGGTAAATTCGATATGAGGCACGAATTCTATTTAAGGGTTGTAATTAGGAAGGAAGAATAAAAGCTATAGAAGAAGAAGGAGGAAGAAAACATGGGAAGATTGATTATTTCTTTGACATATCTTCTTGTAGAGTAACATAAGCATGTATAGGTTTTAAACTACTAATTAAATTGCGCACACACATTAACATAATAGGAATACAGTTACATAACCAAAGCATACCTATAATTACCAGCCATCTCCAGTGAAACCAAGAAAACCAGTTAGGCACCTTAGGCATTTGTGAAAACTTATCTATGATATAATGGATTCTTCAGTGTGTTTTGTATTCCACTTGAACAGGTTTTTGTTTAATGATGTTTATGTTTGGGGATTTTTATGTCTCTTGGTAATCCAAAGTGACATTAAACAGAACAAATGCTGCATTGATAGTCTTGGCGGAAAAAGAGAATTAACTTTATTCTTTTACTGGGAAATTATGTGAATTGCAGAAAAAGGCCACTCCAAATGAACTAAGTCAAAACATTGACTTTAAAAGAAGGGAAGAATGAACATCATAGGATAAAGATGAAGAAATTGAGATACTTATTGGATAGTTTTGGCCAATTGGTAAGGTCTTAATTTCTGGAAGAACATGAATCCTATAATATTTATAAGCAGTTATATTTTGCTACTACTAGCTAACATTTACTAAATATTTACTTTGTGCCAAGCACTTAGCCAAAGGCTTACACGTTATCATGTTTAATCCAAACCAGGTTGAAGAAGAAAACTGGAAGAATATAATATATTCTTAAAATATATCAATGGTTTTTGGTTCAGTTTTGTATTTTATTCAGTTGGTTATGCCTCGTTTTTGGAAAGATGATTTGCATCGTCTGGGGGATAGGAGTGGAGATTGAGAGGCCCAGTGATAGCGGTTAGGAGGAAGAGCTTGAGTGGTGTAGTGCTGGCCTCTGAGTCCTGGCTTCACCATGAATTAGTTGCATGACTGGGGATGACCACCTGGAGTTCCACTTCCCTCATTCGTAATCGGGGAAAATAATACTATGCACTTAAATCTAGGATTGTTAAGGGACTGAAATGAGACAAGTTCTTGATACATAGTAAACTCTCAGTAATGTGCATTATTGTTGTTAGTATTAATTTTTGTGTGGCTCTTTAAAATGGAAAATAGTCTTCAGTTGTGGGTAGTCTATTCTTAGCCATGTGGTCATGGTGGTATGGTAGAGACCCTGTGTAGAGTGAAGCCCTGATACCAGCTTGCTGTGGCTCCCTATTGCTTTGAGGGAAAGAAGGAATGAAAAACGCTCTGGCAGTTTATTCTTTATTTTCTTCTCCTCTCTACTTTCTTCCAATGGGATTGTCAGTCACTAATCCAGGAGTCGCTGCACCAGGCGAGGAAGATGAATTCTAGGGAGAGGCTTGACCAATTTCTAATTGGTTGTAATTACACTGTAATTTTCCAGTCTCTTCCCATCCAAAAATCCTACATGAGAGGGCCCAAATCATCATCATTACACTTGAAATCCAACATTTAATTCCTGGCAATGAGAATGGAAAACAATTACATTACAAGTAACAGTGGTTCAGAACATTTTTCTAAAGCTCCGTATGTTTTTCAAAGAACTTTTGGAGATAGCAGATTTTCTTTTATTCAACAAGGCAATTTCCAGAATAAGTCAGCATTAGCATCAATGTGCTCCTCATGAATCCTGCTGCTACTAAGAAGGTAACTTCTTGCCACAGTGGTAGAAGTTCACTGATGTGTCCCAAGGTGGTGGGGATCATGACGTAAGACTCTGGGTTTCTCATAGGGCATGCTGCATATTATATGTGCATGCTCTATTAAGGCTGGTAAGGAGATGTCACCGGGTTTTTAGATGTTAAGATGCTTTCAAACATCTAGGAGAATATGTGGGTAGGATGGGCTTTGATGTTTCTGTTTGCCAATCAGGTGATTCCTGTGTAGCTGGGAGTGGCAGGCAGCAGGGAGACTGGGGATAGGTGAGGGGTGCAGCACGATTGATTCTCTGAACTGCTGTCTATTGTCACTCATTGGAAGCCTCTTCTGCCATGTGAGGGCCTCAAAATATCTATTTAGTAGTTAAGCTTTGAGCTGTCAGATTGGGTTTAGAGATACAAAAGCTGGTGGATTCTCTACCCTCATTCTTATAGGGGAATTTATATTCATTAGGAACCACAGTACTTTAGGGAAATGAGTTAATCAGAACATGATTTTGCCAGTGATAAGAAAAGAGAATTTTACTTCATAAGAGGTCTTGATAGAATAAAGATAATAAAAATAGTAACTGACATTTTTTACTGCCCTGTGGGTCAGACACTTTGCCAAGTGGCTTGTTTACAATAGTTCATTTAATCTTCTCAGTAACCCTAGAAGATAAGGCCCATTGGTATTCACACTTTCAGATGACAAAACTGAGATTCAGAGAGATTAAAGGGGTCCAGCTCACACGACCAGAGAGTGACTAGAGAGTGATGGGGTCCGTCAATGGAATGCAGATCCTTTGACCTCTGCCTATCTAACAAGCAACAAGATGTAAAGTAAATGGAAGTTGATGTGACTTGAAGACTTTTTTTCCCTCATGAAACTTCCTTTATCCCAATCGATGTTACCTCTTCAGGTGCTGTATGTATTCCTGGCTTAAATTTACAGTGTGTTCAGACATCAGCCTAAAGTTTCATCATTGCTGGAAACTTCAGGCTTTAAGTTAGGTCTGAGCTTAAACATGTGAAGGATTTGTAGCCTTCAGTCTCTGTATTGATGGTACTTGGACTATCATTTTGTCTGTCATTCTGTTTATTTACTGCATTGTTTGAAAAGCAGGGTCCCTCTAGGTGGTTCCTTCTTATACCTATAATGAAAAAAAGTATAAAGAGCCCAGCCTCTTCCTATGACTTGTTCTTTAATAAGAATAAAGGCCGAGCAAAGCACATTTGCACACTTCCCCTTGGGCCCGTGTTTCGGGCTTTCTTTCCCTTTCCCTATTCAAAATCAGTGTATGAAGAGATTCTAAGCCAGATGTTCTTAAATGGAATTCAGGTATGTGAACTTTGATGAGAAAACACATTACACCTTTATTTTCACTAACCTATAACTGAAATTCATTATTTCCTTCAATTATAATGGAGAGCACACACCACAGCGGTATTAGCAGCATTGGTGGCTGTTTGCAGTAGCAATTACAGATATTAACCTAGCACATTACAGTGCTGGCAGATATCTCAAAATACTGTTTATATTTATTACTCATTGAACGCTATAGTAGTTAATAGGCTTGCACTAGATCCTGCTATTTAGAGTATTAATAACAAAGCACATGTATTGCAATACAATAATTTAAAAAATATTTTGATAACTGTAGTTCAGTATCATTGGCTTCCTTTATAGTTTAATGTATTTAAATTACACATTCTAAAGCATTATTTTGAGAAGGGGGTCCGTTAGCTTTCCCAGACTGGCAAAGAGGGTCATGACACAAAAAATGTTGAAAATCCCAACTCCAGGCAGGTCATTTTTCTAAAGAAGTCAGTTTCATAGGGGAAAGGCCTATATGCTATAAGGATTATATTTTCTTACATAAGGTTTAGCATATGGTAAAACACACAGAACAGAGCAAAAAAAATCTTTTTTAAAAATAGTGGGTAGAGACCCTGAGTATTGTTTACCAAATGTATAAGTACATAATAATACTATAAATTTCATACAATTTAAAATAATTTTCCCACAAGGTTGGTCTTTTCCAAGAAGAGAGACCCATTGCTTGTTTAGAGGCTAATAGTAGAAATCACTGGGTTTTGCCCAAATGAGGCATTCACCTCTCTGAGCAGCTTGCCTGTGAATCGTTACCTCCATCAGATGTCAGTCTCTAGCCGCCTGGATTTACTTTGGGCATCAATCCCTGCTTTGATAAATGTTAGTTTTAAATTACACTTTTGTTATCCTTTTATGCTTTGGTATCATTTTTTAAAAAGTAAATTTTATTGAAGGATAACATTCATTCAGGAAAGAGCACACAGCATAAGCATACATCTCAAAGACTTCACAACTCAACGTGTGTAACCAGCACCCAGATCAAGAATTCGGGGCATTTGTATTCTATTATTTGTAACTTCTGTGTATGTAGCACTTGATGTGTCTTTGATGGAGCAGAGTTTGTACCCATGGAACCACACAGCACCTTGCACCTTGCTGAGCACTGATGGGCTCCGTCTAAAGGGACCATGGACTGGTGGGAGGGGCACGAGCTTTAGCTCAGCTTGAATGTTGTCACCACCGGGGACTATGCAACTTCTGACAAATTGTTTAATCTCTTTGAACACCAATGGACTCAGTGGTTAAGTGAGAATATGAGGATGCTAATGAGTTCATGATTTCCAACAGTTAGAGAAAATAAAATTAGAATGTCTACTCTATACAAATGGTAAATGAATGACAGAGGCCATTATCAGTACCTGTGAACCCACCACTAAAACACTCATTTGTGGCCAAAAGTTTATTATAACATAGCAGAGGGGGTTGTAGGAGATAGCACATTAAAATTTTTAAGCACACCCGGTTTTGATAAATTTATAGATTGTATTTACTACATGGTGAATGTAAGTTTAAAAAAAGAAATCAAGGTTTATTGTTTCTTGAATTTTCCAAGAAAGTGAAATCTCCATTTGCTAAATGCATATTCTTTCTTCTTGGAGGTGTTGGAGAAAATTTGACAGATCCATCTGTAATAAAACCTGAAGACAAACAGTAAGTTAATTTATGATGTTACCATTTAGAAAACTCTATTTAACACACTGTACATGGTTTTTCAAAAAATAATTTTTAAATATTATGATTTATTTCCTAGATCCTAGATATATATACTGGACATCCATATTGCATATCTGTACCTATATCTATATCCAATAGAATAAGATGTTAGAGAATGCATAGATTAGGAAATGGTAGCAAAAAGAAAATACATAAATAAAATAAGATTACATCTGGAGTTAATACTCACAAGTGGAAATTACAAAGACCAATGCAATAGAAGGGATTTTGTCATAAATTCAACTGGGTTTCCTAGTGGCACAAACAAAAAGAAAAATGCGGTAAGTTCAGCCTCCATAGGCTTTGACATGGAAACAGTGTCATGGGAGAAGCACAGTTTCCTTTGCTGTACTTACAGTGGAGTCATTGCATCTTATCATGGACAGTGTCTTCCATCCCATGCCTATAAAGCAAAAGCTGAGGGCACAGAGTGTGCTGTTCCATAACAGCAAATCTACGAGAGGCCGAAAACTGGGACTTAAATATAAAGCATCAGATGTTTGCCTTAATTCAGGGTTGAAGTTTAAATTGTATAGAGAAACGAGTTACCTGTCTGTCCTTTGAATTCCTATGGGTGTTTTGTGCCATAAGCAGATTATGGGGAAGACTTGGCAGTAGAGGATCTGAGGTTGTATGCTTCTGTTAAAGGTGGAGTAGAAAGAGGTGATGAAGCTGATTAAGGCCTGATCAGTATGGCAGATGACAGTGGTGCTCTCACTTGAGCCTCCATCATGATCACTAGGAGTGGTTGTTGAAACACAGATCGCTGTGTTCCTGATTCAGTGGGTTTGGGGTGGGGCCAAATAATGTAACAGGTTCTCAGATAGTTCTGATGCTGGTGGCCTGGAGACCACAGTTTGAGAACTGCTGCTGGCATATGACGTTTTTACATCTTAGTTGTCCTAAATATTTATACTTGGCCTCTGGGTTGTAGAAAATACATATATAATTACATAAGTGGGAAATCCCTGTACGATAAAAGCTGAAATTTTTACTTCCTTCCCCTATTGTAAACATTTACTGCTTTAATACTGTTCTTTTTTTTTACTGAATGATTTAATTTGAATATGGTCTTATCTGAAGGCTTCTATGCAAAGAGGTCCATCTAAAAATGTTTTAGCTGTTCTAGAGAAAATAAAGGTGATCTGTATTGCTCCTGCACATCCAGTTCCTATATTTGCCTATGGAGTTTGTGTGATAACCCTTAGGGTACAGATAAGCCTATATTTTTCACTTTAGCATAGCTTAAGTATTTTTAACTAAGAATATTATTTCTTCAATAGCTCTGTGTGTCCAAGGGTTTTTACTATGAGTACTCCCTTTATAATTTTCAATGACAACTTTTTTACATATATAATGAACCAAGTTTATATATAGTCTATCATTTATTAAATTCTGATCTTGGTATATATCATCTACTATAATGTGAATATTTCTAATTTTTAGAATTCTAAGAAGATTACTATCCCATTTGACAGTTAAGTATTTAATTGCACTCTACAGGCTATTTGGTCTCAGTTTCTATTAAGGTCAGCTAGGGAACTAGGAAAAACAAAGTAAAACTGCCCAGAATTAGTATGAAATCAGAATCCCTGAAGATAGGGCCCCGACATCTATATTTTTCAGAGGTTCCCCATGTGATGCTGATGCATCCAGGGATGGGACCCTCTGTTTTATGCAAACTTTCTTGTTTATGACTTGAAGATAGGAACTCTGGGAACTGACAGGACAGCATCACTATTGCCTGCCTGGTCTTACAGGATCAACTAATTTTCAGTGCAGGTGGTTTTCATGGTGAAAATAAGGAAATGTAGTATTTCCTCACAACCATGGCAGATCACTTTGAATTAGTTCAACAGGGCTCACTTCTGGAATTCCACGTGCCAAACCTTTGCTATACTAAGCACAGGCCACAGACAAACCTTGGCATCACCTGGGAGCTAGAACTGCAGAATCTCAAGACTCTCCCTTGACCTAGAGAATCAGAGTCTAAATTTTCACAAGATCATCAGGTGATTTGGTGTAAATTAAAGTGTGAGGAGCACCGGTGTAGGCAAGCACTTTCACGTGTTGTTTATTTTACCCATAACAACAACATTGGAAGTAAGTTGAAGATGCTCACAAGTTCACAAACGAGAACAACCAAGTTCAGTGAAGACCAGCACCTGCCTATGAGGAGGCAGCTCAACGCAAGGGAATAATCCTCTACCAAAGAGATGTTTTTTTTGGTGCAAATTCTGATCAATGCCTATTGTCTGTTATCTTTCCCCAACCTTTCGCACAAAAGAGAATCACCAGGCCCTCAGATTCCGCCTGGACGCTTAGCTCCTCGGGTCACTGAGCCTCAGTGGAGGCTGCCTCTGTTATTGGTGGTTTGAGATGCTTCTCTGCGCTTTCTGCCTTGATGGTTTGGGGCATTTGACAAGCAGCAAGTGATGATGATGGTGATGAATGTTCTTTAGTAAATCTCTGTGAACACGGCACCAGTTAGTGTTTCCTCACATGTGGAACCAACGTACCACCTGCTTTTCCTGTGCTGTGAGAAATCTGGGGAACAGTTGTATTTCCTTTTTTAAACTTTGTTATCTGAGACTGCAAGACTGCAGGCATCACTGTGGGGTATAGATGCAAACGAAGGTCCCTCCAACCCATTCCACTCTCCCCTGCGCAGGGAGTGGCTGAACCCCTCATATGTCCGTCTTATAGTAATATTGATAGTCTTTCACAAAGCTCATGGAGATGATTTACCTTCCAACTTTTATCTGAGAACAATGTTACATCTCTAAGTTGGGGATGTCCATGCTTTCATAGGAGGAGGAGGAAAGAAATGGCATTATGGAATACAAGAGAGTGAAATATTCCAAAAGGGTCATATTGGAGAGAATGTAAAAAGAATTCTTCAACTTTAATGACCAAAATAACACGTTCATTTTTCACTTTAGCGGCATCATAGAGGTCTGGTACTAAATATCAAGTGATTCTCCTTTTTTGCCACGTTCGATTTCACCTTATGGAAGTGGGTCCTTACCGATGTACTGAAAGGCAGTTTAACAAGAGGCAGCTTATGCAGCCGTACTGTGTAAGGGCGATTGAGTGACCGGGAAAGTTAATCCAGGGTGTCCGTTCACTTTTTCTTCCCAAGAGGTTTCCTCCACCTGCTCGCCTTGGAGCAAAGAGGCAATCTGAGATCAAACTGACATCAGCCCTCATTCTGAGCTTGGCACATCTTCAGAGCAGCTACTGTTATTCTGCCAAAAGGAAGTGGAAATTGAGATAAATGTTTCAGTACTCGGATGGAAAAAAGTCCATTTTTACACCACGTCCCTTTTGAAAAACTGCATTCCTTAGAAGTGAAGTTTATTGTTTCCTTTTGTGATTTGCTTTTCTTTTTCCTTAAGACATGGTATTTAAGAGTGGTAATCGAGTTCAGATTTTAAAATTTGCTGTTTCCACTCTACATGTCATTAAAATAAAATAATAGCTTTCATACAGTTTCTTTGGAAGTGTTTCTGGTGTGCTCCGTGCCATGGCGTGTAGTGTCAGCCTGCAGAATAATGCTTGTGCTGGTATGAGAATGGGGGAACATTGATCCTAGAATCTGCTAAGGATCTATTATAATTACAGACTATTCAAAATGGGCCTAATATGTACTGATTCTGTTGACAGTTTTGTCACCTACATTTAGCATATATAGTTTCTTCCACAAAAATCATTGCCTCCTGAGTAGTCTCTCTTTCCAGAAAGAGCCCAGCGAAGCCGTTTGCACAGTAGAGAGAGCTATGCAGAAAGCCGTGATGAGTATTGGATGTCAGCTTCTGTGGGCATTTGATTTTTGAGGACATTAGTTATTTCCTCAAATTCCTCAATGGAATATTGTTTGGGTTTGAGATGTGTACATCAATCTTTTGACAAAGGTGTTCCTGTAGCAAATTTATTCTGCTTTATTCCTTACCTTCCAGGTGTGCCAGTAGAATATTTGGTAATGAATGTCGCTCTCTCACCCCGGTGGGTTAAAAGAGGTCTCACTGTGTTTTGTTTTTATGTTGTACTTAGAAAATCCACTCTTCTATCAGATGAGCGTAGAAATGAATTTCACAGTAGGTCTTGGAGTTGGGCACAAGATTTAAGTGCATTTGAATTTTAAATGTGCAGACCTAACAGTGTTGCTTCCCCCAAGGGCTCCGATCTTTGTTGGCTCCTTCAAGTTTGCTGGGTTACTAAGGGATACTGTTCAGTATCTCAGAGAATCCTAGTTGAGCTCCTTTTTCTTAGCTGTGGTCTCATTGATATTCTGATATTTCCTCTAGATCAAGAGGAATGGTGTTTGGACCAGCCAACTTAGGGGAAGATGCAATCAGAAACTTCATTGCAAAACATCGTTGCAACTCCTGCTGCCGGAAACTCCGACTCCCGGGTATGCCCCTAACAGTTCTATTTTTCTCAAAGTAAATCTCTTGTAGAACATCATCCATTGTAACCTGGGATGCGAGTAAGAAAATCTTAATCGCATTTTTATCTCATTCACAGTCGAGGCCTGACTTTCTGACTGAAAATTTTTCAAGTCTCTAAAGGGATTAAAAGGACAGGGATTTACTTCAGGTTCTGCCAAAATGTGATAAAACAACACTGGGCCCAATACTAGTCACAGTCACTCCCAGGGAAAAGTTCCACCAATTTAATTGGGCTAAAGTTGGACCAAGGCAGGCCTCTGCGCACCCCCTTCCCTCTGGGCCCTGTGTGGAGTCCACAGTCTTCCTGTTCTATTCTTACTCCTCCAACACTTGGGCGGGTGAAGTACAGAGGGAAAAACGGCCATCAATTAAAGCAGTGCTTTTCACTACAAAAACCTGTTACTTTAAACCTACATTGCAAAGCGCATAAAAAAATCTGATTTTTTTTCTTTGCAAGGAATATAGTCGTCACATAAACACATTCCTAATATAAAAGCAGGTGGCCGAGTTCTGTGCCCACCTCCAGACTGGTAGCCCCGGCTCTTGCATTCTTTTTTTTAATCACAGAAGGATGCTTATGTCTGTCTCAGCTTGCTCACTGTTTTTCTTAGGTCATACCAAACTTGTCCTTAGAATGGAATGTCACATTTTTTAAGCTGACTAGCCTTTCCTGCTTTACAATCAATGATCATACCCTGAATTGGAAACCAGTAAAAGATCAGCATCCATTATGACTTTGGGTGGAGCAGTAGCTGGACATTTATGTAACAAAGAAGGGCAATTAATCTTGTTGGAGTTAGAGGAAGGAGGAGCTCTTGTGGGCAGGACAGAGAGAAAGACTGGGATCTGGAGCAGGCCTCCACTGCGGGTGGGGAACAGCCCATCACCCAGGCTGGTGCGGTGGTGGCAGTGCTATGTGGGGTGGGGAGGTCCGACTGGAACCCAGAGAGGGGAGGCTGTCCCTCTCATCTTGTAGCTGCCCCTTCTCACAAATCATATGGCAGACCTGCACAGAGATATGTCCACAGCACATCAGCCACCCTGCTCAGCAGGCCCTGTCTGTTCAGAAGGTTCCAGGAAGGAGCGGGGCTGGCTGAGCAGCAGTAGGGCCTCCAGTGAGGGCCCCGCGGGAGGCGAGAGTCCAGTTCATCACCCAGTGTCCTCTTCCCAGGCCTGATTCACTGCTCCCTGGGCAGGCAGCCTCCTATTCTTGAAGACACAGGATGGCATCTGATCAGCCAGGAGAAAGGCAGAGAGGGAGGCTTGAGGCATAACTCACCCCTCTCTCCTCGAGCCCTGTTAGATCTTCTGTATTAATAAGGTTGAGGTCATTTTTTTTTTCTTAACCAATGATTGTGGGTTTTAAGTGAATCATTCAGTAGTTCCTCCATTTCTAGGCCTAATCTTTGTGTTCTTTCAAAACTTTAGTAAGCACATTTAAGTGGAGATAAGAAATATCCTCACTTGCTCAGATATTCAATCTGAATTTAAAAAACAATCTGGAAAATAGAATTATGGGTAATTTTTCATTTTTTCTGATTATTTTTTCTTTCTTTTTCCTTCTAAAGAGAGGTAGTTTAGGATGGTGTATAAGAGCATGGGGTCCAAAGCCAGACAGATTGAGCTCACATCCCAGGTCTGCTTTTTATTATGTATGTGACATTGGGCCTCAGTTTACTCATCTATAAACTGGGAATAAGAACACCTGTCTCCCAAAGTTGGTGTGAGGGTTGACTATATGGCTGTGTTCAATAAGCATTGGTTATTATTAAACTATAAAATGCATTTGTTTTTGTCTAGATAATCCTCATTTGACATTTAAAAATAATACAAGGAATACATGTTTAAGGTTAACAAATTAACGTAGCACAAAATGGTACACCAGCATTTAAAGCCTACTGTCCTCTACACATCTCTCCCAAAAGGTTACCCCACCAATCTTTTCTTTTGATAATTTCATTTTCAAATGGAAGAAAGAGGCTTTAGGAAGCATAGGAGCCAATAGCTGGACAAAGCTTTAATAGGCGGTGCCAAACCTGAGGTACAACTTTGCTGTGAAACGCCGACGCTGGCCACGTTGACTGAACTCCCTGGCCTTGCACATCAGTCAGCCGTGAAAATGTCCTGATGCCGGGCTGGTCTCCCTGGATGCTGGCTGGTTCATGCCTTAGAGACACTGCATCACGAGTCAAGCAACCGAATCTTTCCTCCTCTGCACCAGTAAACACAAGCCCCAGCCAGCCCTGGGGAGCTAGACTCCCGCATGGGCACCGAGTGTGTGGGGCGACTAGTTTGCACATGGTGGAGAGTTGGGGTGTCACATATCAGTGACCTGGGGAGGCAGAGTCCTTTCTGAGCACTTGGCAAAGACTGAAGTTCAGTCTGTCTGTGTGAACACCACCTTGTAACTGTCTCAGTTGTTTTCCTTGCAGATTTGAAAAGAAACGACTATTCTCCTGGAAGGATAAATCCCACTTTTGGACTTGAAATCCAAATACAACCAGCTGAGGGGCCTCTGGCAAGGGAGAAGGGTAGTAATTCTCCAGGAGACCTCACACGATTGTAAGAAGGGGAGGAGGAGTGAGCAGCCAACGGCCCTACCTCCCTTCCTGGGACGATTGGCGGATGTAACGCTGGTGATGTCAGCGCCTTGTGAGGATGGCCTTGCCCTCGGGCCTCCTGGGGACATGCTTTCTGAGCCTCCAGTCTCCCCTGGCGAGAGACCTCACTGGGATGCCATGAATGGGTTCTCCTAGATGTGGACCCATGTGCCGGGTGCTTTGCATGTGTTCGTCATCCCGAGGTCCCACAGGAAGACACTTGGCTGAGTCTGCTGGGAATACTGCCCCTTCATACCTCACTGCTTTAGCTGGTTGCTTAGAACCCCTGGAGCAGTTTGCTGGACACCAAAGAACCAGGGAGATGAATTTAATTTATTTTCTCACTATGTGTGCGGACTGTAGCCCCCACTGCTATTCTTGAGGCCACCCACATGTTGGATTTTTGTACGTATGCATATAAAAAAGCTTGACTTTTCCTTTCTCCCCTTCCAGCAGCTTAGGGCTTTGAATAGAAACAATAAGGAAAACAATGGAATGGGGTGTTTTTGCACAGATTGGTGCATACACCTTTACAATCTTACCAGTAGAGAGTTAGTATCCTGGTGAAATCTAGATGGGTTTGAGGTATTGTCAGTGAATCATATGATGCCTGGACATTTCAGGTTTCTCTGAAAGAAGGGAAAAGGGAAATCTAAAACAAATGCCCTTGCATCTTTCTTTTCTTTTCTTTTTTAAGGGGAACAAGGATATGTAAAACTAGAAATTATCAAGAAGTATTTTCCCTTCTCTTAAGCTCAGGGGCGCCACCAGTTGGAGAGTTGACTAAGCCAGCCTCCAAAACCTTACTCCCTTATCCAAAACTGTGTATATCATACTATGGCTGATGCTCTCTGTCAGATCCTGTGGGGAAGGACAGAGTTTCTGAAAACATGCTTCTAAGGTGTTTGCTTTATTCCAGTGCAAAGTTCTGGTGGCTTAAAGAGTGCAGTTATGTGTATTTTAAGTACAGCCTGAGAACATGTAATCGATTCTAGGGACCCGAAGGGAGGTCCCTGGAACCCTGACCACACAGAATGTTTGGGGACCAGTCATCCCTCTTCTGGGCCCACCCTGCCTCAGAACCAGCAAGAGCTTTCCACACGAGGAGGAGATGGAGGGCTGGGAGTCCTCACCCTCTCCCCCTGCATCACCTTTTCTCATTATAAGGTGTCTACCAGCAGCAAACTCCTGGGTTTGAAAAATGTCAGCTTGTCTTTATCCTTAGCCCGTATGTTAGCTGGCTTGCTTTTTAAACCAACAGTCCCACATTCTTAGGTTATGCTTCAGGGACAGTGTTGCCCAGGCAGAGGGGGACAGAAAGCCGTGGATTTAGTTTGCCAAGGACACTGTTTGACTCTTGTAAGTGTGAGTTGCACAGGCTCTAGTTCATACCCCTTTTATTTTGGTCTTCCAGGTGTCAGGGGGCAGGAAATTTGGGTGATTTCCTGGTTGACAATGAGAATAAAATGTTAATGCTTTCTTCAGACCTTAACTGCTTTATCCTATTCTGCAAATCGGTAAGGGATTTGTTGGTACTCATTTCAGTGCTGTCTGTGTTCAACTATGGAAAGAAGCAATTTGCCTCTCCAAGGGCTAAGCTAAAAGCATTTATTCTCTGGTCAAATATTTGTTACCTGGAATGGAACTTGAAAACAAATACATTTCGATTTCAAATTTCTATTTTGTGCACTTCTCTCTTTAAAAAAAAAAAAAATCACCAGAATGACATTTTAAAACGATGAACTGCTGAACAAAGGTCTCTGTGGGATTGCTTGCATGCACATACTGATGTGACAATCTCGACTTCAAGTGATCCATGACCACAAAAGGGTGGGGTGTTCATTCATTCATTTGGTCAGTTTTATTCAACAGATATTTACTAAATGCCCTCTCTGTACTATGTGAGTGATGAGGATGCAGTAAACACACCATTTCTTTGCCCTTGAGAAGCTTTGTATCTCACGTTTCTTTTCTCTTTGGTTCCAAGTTTGGATTTCTTGTTAGTGCTAAAAAAAATGTGACTTCTGGGGAAATGATGAATCCAGAGATGTCTCCATGCCCTGTCTGCCAGTGGGCAGAAAGTTCAGACTGGGATAAGAGAATTAGGGCAAATAAGACAGCTGGGGCTGGTTTTAGGAACCACAGAGGAAAACCGGACTTGGTGAGACCTGAATCTGGAGGCCAGGAAACCAGCTAAGTTCCCGGGACTCCTTTCTAAAGGCATCCTGTGTGCGGGCTGCCGTTCCTGGAGTGGCTGCTGCCCTGTGATCTCTTAAAGCTTCTGACAACTCTTGGGAATGAGAGACAGTTTGGGGTGTTTCTCACCCTGTTATAACTTTCTGTGGCTTTCCAAAACAAGCACTAGGTGACTAATACTTCCTAACCAATTACCCAATGTTTTAAAAAAATACATATTTTTAGTTGTTGTTTGTCACTGTTTTAGATGAGACAGACCCTTGACGCTCTAGGAGTCATGACACAGAGGCCCCTGTCACGGTTTCTTGTCTTTCCTCCTCAGTCCCCAGGATCTAGGACAATGCCTGGCACATAATAGGCTTTCAATAATATCTGTTGAAGAAAATAATAAAACCTTCAAATGATAATGGATTTCATTTGCTCGGTAATAAATCAGATTTGCATTTTTAATCTAGAAGGGAATGATTACCAGTTCCTTAAGACCCAACACAATTCTTTTGATCTCTCTCTCTTTTAATTTTCCAGGAAATAGCTTTTAACAACCTACCCCTTGTCTATTGAATTCTCAACTAGTCTTGCCTTTATCATGGTCGTGATACCAGAGTGCAGTCCTTCTTACTGGTGACTCTTGAAATGAAATGATAACTTCCCAGAAACTGCCTAGAAATAATCACCACTTTATTACCCTTTGAAAGGAAGATTGATGGAAAAGTCATTTGAAAGACGGTTCATTACCATGCCCTAGTACGATTTCTTTACTCACATCTCTCCAAAGCATGAGAAAGGGAGGATTATTCTCTGAGGTCGGAATTTGAAGGCTGTGTGTTTGTCTCTTTGAAGTCCCGGTATTTAATTTTCTATAGTCATTTCTTGGGCAATTTTCTAAGAAACTAGTTGAAGCTAATTTATCATAAGTTAAAGTCAAATGACAGAAAAGATTTTTTTTTCCCCCCTTAACAGCCTTTTATTCCACAGAGGTTAGCTTCTGAAGGAAAATGAGACTTAAATAGCATTTCAAATCTCCAGCCACATGGGTGAGTACACAGAATAGAAGCGTTCTGGAAACCACACTGATTTTTTATTTAGCACAGTTATTATTTTGTGACTTTTCTTTCAAGGCCATGATGGACAGATAAAATATATTTTTGTGCAATGCTTTCCTAAAAATAATTAGTTAGGTTGCTTAATTTTTCAAAGAGAGACTTTTAGTCCACAAGGGATAAAAAATGTTGGTCTCTATTGTTGGCAGACTTTGGTATAACTTTATATAATTTTACCCCTTAACTCTGAAATGCAGGTGAGATGCCCACCTTTTCAAATGAAGGTGGACAATAGGAGCATTATAAAGTCCTTTGAAAATCTCGTTAAAAAGGCTTCTTGTCACCATGACATCCAGTTCAACAAGTAATTAGGGGCTTTCATTTTGCTATTATGTGATCATTATTTAATGTTTGCAGAGGATGCTCAGTGGACTTGTTTCAGTATAAACACAAAAGTGTTTCTGCTATTTCTCCTTTTCCAAAGGGAAAAAGCTCATTGCTCCCTTTTTGTTTTGAAGCTTCCTTTATTAAATAGTTCAAACTCAGGAAGTTCACCATTTCACTGTGTCTTCTATTTATTTTGCTTTTTGATGGATTTAGGTTTTTGCAGCCAATTTATTTTGCCGTCTTCTGCCTTCCAGGAAAAGAAAACCCAAATCTGGCTTCACCATTTGTGACACTTTTTGGAATGAAAAGAGAGCAGGTTTAGAATTTTGATGCTTATAAAACCTGATATTTTGCAAAAATTTTAATTAGTAGCAATTTAAGTTTTGTCAGTATAGGACTGCTTAGTAACAAAATCTTCCCTATACTTTGCCAGCATCTTTTAGCAACTAACTTTCTTTAGACTTCTCGTCTTTTGCTATGGATTTTTTTCAATGTGAAACTTTAGAAATTCCATCTGCTCTACTAGTCACAAAGTCCTCACATATATTATGGTAGAAACCCATTGGCTAATGACTGTCCATATGTGTACATAACAATTGCCTTTTGTTGTAGGGATTTGAGGGAATCATCATTGGTGTCCTGTAGTTGTACTTTGGCTTCTGATGAATCTTTTTCTCTGTATCCTATTGAGCACCCAGGAAGAGGTCACAGAGCCTCAGGATCCTTTGGTAACCAAAAGAAACCTTGGGTGGGTGTTAAGGGCTGAATTGTGTTCATTCCTCCACCAAATTCATGTGATGAAATCCTAACCCCAGTACCTCAGAATGTGACTGTGTTTGGAGAAAAGGTCTTTAAAGAGATAATTAAAGTTAATTGAGGTCATTAGGGTGGACCCTGATGCAATATTACTGGTGTCCTTTTAAGAAGAGGAGGCTAGGATGCAGACACACTCAAAGGGAAGACAGATAAGGTAGCCATCTGCAAGCCAAGGAGAGGGGCCTCAGAAGAAACTAGACATGCCAACACCATGATCTTGGACTTCCAGCCTCCAGAATGGTTAGGAAGTTAACTTCTCTTGTTTAAGCTACCCAGTCTGAATTATGTTATTATGGCAGCCCTAGCAAACCATTACAGCTTGTTGCCATTTTGAAATTTACTACTTGCCCTTGAAATTTTATGGACAGTGACTTGGGGGACAGAGATGCTGATAACACCAATTGAGAGGAGGAGGAGAACTGGTTTTTGGCTTCAGGCATCTTCTGTGGGAGAGGATGGAGAGGACGGGTGGTGGCAGCACTGGTGAATTGCTTTATTGAGGAGTAGAGGGTGGTATGTTCTGGAAGATGATATGAATGTTGCAGATGAAAACAAACATGGACTAGGCTTCATGAAATGGGATGTTTGCCTACTGCTGAAGGGCTTCTGGGGATATTTTAGCGGATAGAGCCGGAAGAGAGGTGTGGTGGTATAGTCCTCAGTCCTGTACAACTGTTCAGAATATATATGCTATTCAATAAATATTTATTGAGTATTCCCCTGGATTATGCACTCTCAGTAAGGCTAGATTTATTAGAATAAGGATCTTGAAGGGTCTCCAGGACAAATAAAGAGTTTATGATATACTGATTCATCATTGCCCAGCAATAATAATGATTATAATGATAACTTTTCAACATTATCATTGTAGGTTGCATGTATTGAGCACTTACTGTGTTCTTGGCATTCTACTAAATGTGCACTATGCATAATTTCATTTTTCTGAACACTAACCTGATGGTTGGGTCTGCTATGCCTATTGTAAGGATTTGACAATGCTGCTTAAAGTAACTTGATTAAATCAGCCCCCCCACCCCCACCCCCAGCAGGGATTTGAAACTAGATCGAATCAATAACATAGACGGCTAGGCAGTACTAACCAGAGCACTTAGAATGACTAGAGCATGACTACGCTAATCACGGTGAACACATTTTCATTTATATAACTGTCGAATCACTGTTATATGCTGAGACTTATATTGTAAATCAACTATACTTAAGTTAAAAAAATAAATGAAATCTTTCCTTTAAGCTTCAAAAAAAAAGCTTTACTCCAGTTGTAGCTCCAGGGGGAATGAGGGTGTTCCTGGCCTGGGTGATCTGCCCTATGAATCCTGTGAAACTGAAGTAAAGCAAGGGGAAAGCAGGTGGGATCAAGGGGTTGTGTTGCTCAGGCTTTGCAGCTCTGTCCCTCCCGTATAGCCTGATTCGTGCTCTCCTCCCTCGTGGGCCTCTTCCAGGAGGAACTCCTGGGTGTGTCCTTGGTGACTGGCACATGCCAGACTAATTATGTACCAGGCATGGAGGGGAGGAGAGAATGGCTGTTTTCTCTCCACCCCTTGCCCCAGATCAACCAGAAGCTCTGAAATATCCATTGGTATGTAAATGGCCTAAGGCCAGGAGGGAGATTCTGGAAATTCTAAGGGAAAACTTCCATTTACTGCACAGCAGCATAAATCCCTATGATGATTTGAAACACAGAGCTCAAAGCCAGGACCTAACTTGGGCCACCAGAGAAGAAAGTCCAGACTGGCATCTGAGGAATGTTAGTTACCTCTCTGCATGGGTCAATTTCAAGGAAATCTTTCCTGCACAGTTAATGACCATTTATAGACTCTGTGAGTCCATGGTAAACTCCCTCCTGATGTCATCACAAGGTAGGTGCAAGATCTGGATTGGGTTCTTTTGAGTCTGGCACTGTCAGTGGATTTTTCTGCCTCCACTTGAATTTCTGCCCCCCCCCCTTTTTTTTTTTTACCTTTCCTAGACAATTAGATATTTGTTGGTCAACATAACTGACTACTGGACAGCATCTAGTGACATTCCATTTTATCAGTTTATAGTGAAAAATAGAAGTATGCAACTACAAAACCTTTATCAGCCTGACCATCACACTGTGTCCCTGGATGCCTTTAGAAGCTGGGTTATAATCAGAGGGTTGCTTGAAGTGCATGGAATCAGAACAAAGAGAGTTAGATAAATCAAATATTTAATGGTGTCAGGCTAAGACATCCTGTTTCGTTCTGTCTTCTCCAGAGGGATGAGCCTGCCAGTGGGAGTGGAATACCCAAAGTCTGCAACACTTCAGACTGATTCCAGAGGATGCAACAGAATCTCAAGTGACTCTTAGATCAGCCTTGAGAAATACTGAGCATAACGAGAAAGCATTTCTTTACTCCTTTCCATACTTTCTCTCTCCCTTCCTCACTCCCTCCCTTCCTTCCCTTCTCTTTCCTTCCTCATTTTCCTATCTCTGATTAGGCATTTCTGTTGTATCTTTTACGCTATACTGACTGCCAGTGTGGACTAAGAAACATGATTGATTTTACGAGAGGTACCAATTTTTCCAGAAATGCAGAATTAGGAAATGTGAGAGCTACAAGGATAGATGAAAGTAATGAGGTCCAAAGATACTGTGCTTCACCCAGTTAATAGAACTCTTGTCAGAGGAGGGACTAGAACGCAAGCCTTCTTGGTCACCATTTATCTTAATAATGACCAAAATTGTGGTAAGTCAAACAGAGTTCCCTTGTATTAAAATCCTCTGTTTTCCTAGAAAATATTCAGATGTTTCTGTGAAGAAGTTTTTAATTTGGAAATCTTTATAAGGCTGTCTTTAAGATGAGTCAAATCAGATTTAATTGTCTATGCTTTCAATCAGGATCATTTAGTGGATATGTGATTTGAATTCTG